ATCAGTGCATTCCTCCTGTCACAAATGTGAGAATCTCCATTCTTTCAGGGAGAATGTTTCAGACTTCTATGACCATTTGTGTGAAACAATGGTTCTTTACTTTACACTTCATTTTGAGCTCGAGCCTTTTGTACAGCAGTCTGCCAGGTAAACTATTCACTGTTTTTAAAAAAAAAAATCTGAATGCTGAGCTCAGAAGAGTTATTCTACTTAGAAATCCCACAATATGTCTTAGCTTTTTTTTTGTTTCGTCATAGGATTTACGCATCACGGCTAGGTCAACATTATTGCTCAGTCTTAACTAGCCCCAAGACAATAAACAGTCAGTCATGTAACTGAAACTGGAGTCACATGTAGGACAGATTTTGTTCTCTAAAAGGACATTCATGAACCAAATGGCATCAGACTAGATTTTTATATTTCCAGACTTTTACTAAATTCAAACACCCTGTCCCCAGAAATATTAGCTGGGGCTCTGGATTACCAGTCTGGTGACATTACCATTACATGGCCAGCTCCCCAAATTTAAGCTTTTAGACTGTGACAAAATATCAAGTTTAGACAGACAGATTTCTAGAATTGAAAGGAGTTAAACTTGTAGGTACACACTGCTGGAAGGTAATGTTGGAAGTACTAAATGAATTACTTAAACTGCTGGAAAGGAATTATTATGTTGCAAATGGGACAATCAGCCTTATGACAGAAAAATAACAATATTAAAAGACTGGTGAGACATCAAGAAACAGGACTCAAGCAACAGGCGGAAAGAATAATTTTATCTAAGTGAAATGAGAATGGAGATGTTATGTTACTTCCAGTAAGCTCCTCACTTCAGTATTCTATTTCCTCATATCACTGGAATTTTGTCCTACTTCACTGCTGCAACAGATGAAAAGTTAACATTCAGTAATAGATGAGACTGTCCCTGTTGGCACTCTCAGTTGGATATCACAGATAATAGGATAGTTTTTGATGAAGAACAAGGAGATTTTCCTGGCCAATTTCAGGCACAATGGCTCAGTGGTTAGCGCTAGTGCTTCACAGCGCCAGGGGCCCAGGTTCAAAGCTCAGTGGTTAGCACTGCTGCCTCACAGTGGCAGGGGCCCAGGTTCGACTCCACCCTCAGCACCTGTCTGTGTGGAGTTTGCACGTTCTCCCCTTGTCTGCGTGGGTTTCCTCCAGATGCTCCGGTTTCGTCCCACAGTCCAAAGATGTGCAGGCTAGGTGGATCGGCCATGCTAAAATTGTCCATAATGTTCAGGGATGTGTAGATTAGGTGGGTTATCGAGGAATGAGTCTGGATGGGATGCTAAGAGGGTTGGTGTGGACTTGTTGGGCCGAAGGGCCTGTTTCCACACTGTAGGGATTCTATGAAAAACCCAACATCGCTAAATAGGAGATAACAAGGTGTAGAGCTGGATGAACACAGCAGGCCAAGCAGCATCAGAGGAGCAGGAAAGCTGACGTTTCAGGCCTAGACCCTTCCTCTGGACAATGTCTCAAGAAACAGCATCCCAACAACTTTAGATCATAACATTTGTTTCTATTTAAGAATGACAATAAGTGTAGAAGAGATGCATTCAATGATTAAGACTTACACCACCCCATTTGGCCTCTTGACTTGTTCCACCATTTCGGAAAATTGTTGCTGCTCTGACTGTGCTTAACCTCCTTTCTCCTGTCTGCCCTCATAACCTTTAACCTTGTCAATAGAAAGCTTAGTGGTAAATTTACCAACCATACATTTAATCCCATCATCAACTGTCACTGTTACAGGTTGTAAATAGTTGAGACCCCAGCACTAAACCCTATGGCAATCTACTTATTATATTTTACCAACCTGAAAATTATACACTTATGCTGACTTTCTGATTCCTGTTCACTAAACAAATCCTCTATCTATGCTTTCACGTCACCTCTGACACCATGAGTTCTTATTTTGTGTATTAACCTTTGACATGCCATCTTATTAAAGGCCTTTTGAAAATCCAGAAAATATATTTGCAGGTTCTCAGTTATCCTTGTCACTTGCTCAAATAATGCAACTAAATTAATCAAACAAAATTTCCTTTTCACAAACCACGTTGCCTCTGCCTGATTGTATTATGATTTTCTATACGTTCTGCAGTTATCTCCATGAAGGATTGCAGCATTTTGCCTATAACCAATGTTAAGCGAACTGACCCATCATTTCCTGCTTTCTTATTTCTTTCATTCTTGAATAGAGGTATTAGCTAAGAGATTTTTCAATCCACTGGGACCTTTCCAGAATCTAGGAAGTTATGGTAAACCTCAAACAATGCATCTATTATTTCTACAGCCACTTATTTTAAGACCCTAAAATGAAAGCCATCAGATCCAAGGTACTTAACATCTTTAATTCTTATACTTTTAACAGTACCTTTTCCCTAGTGATTGTGATTGTTTTAACTTCCTTCCTTCATTTTACCTCTTGATTTTCAAGTAGGACTGGGATATGTCTTCCATGGTAATGATAGAAACTAAATACCTATTCAACCCGAGTGCCATTTCTCTCTTTCCCACTCTCAACCTCTAGGGGCCAATGCTTATTAGTTATTCTTTTCATTTTTAAATACTTGTAGAAGCATCTATCTGTTTTTATCTCTGTAGCCGTGTGATCGTAATGACAATGACTATCAATATTCAACTTTCCTTGTTTCATTTTAAAACCTGAGACTTTCATGGAAAGTGTTAAAAAGGACACTGCTGATGTAAAATGGCTGCTGTGATCATCTGACATGCCCAGGCAAATCACATGGAATAAATGAAACTGGCTGTTTTGGAATGACTATTTTTATCATAAGTCACAAACTCAGTGAGCTCATAAATTAAACTGGAGCAGCAGTGATTAGAAGTAAAATTCTAAAGTAGGAAAGAAAATTCCAGGAATAGACAGAAGAATGAGAGAGGCAAGAAAGAGATAAAAGAGGGAGTATTCCAGGAAAGAGAGGCAATGGTGAAGCAGAATTTAAATTGAGACAGCTCAAGACTGGAAGGAAAATAAAAGCAGCTGTGGCCCAGAAAGAAAAACAAGTAAAAAACTAGTAATATCTCTGCTCATAAATGGATTTTCCTTTGTTTATTATTGGCACATTTACCTAGGTACAGTGAAAAGTTTTGCTTTGTGTGCAGTACAGGCAGATCATACCATACAAAGTGCATAAGGGTAAAAGAACAGAGCAAGGAATACATGTTACAGCTGCAGAGGAGGCACACAAAGAGAGAAGTCAACATTAAATTTAAAATTTGAAATTTGAATGCACCGGATCTCCATTTAGAAGTGTACGTGCCGTTCCCAAATTTTACTAGCTTTTCCTTCTGGACTAAAGTATTCAAGTTGGACCATTTGACCTCCACCTTTGACAAGAAAAAGGTGAATGCCTTCTTGAATCTTTTGACAGATCAGCTCAACAGTTAAAATTGTCATTCCATTATTGAACACTGCTGTTGAAGGGCAGATTGACAGGGAAAACTCTCAAAGTTTAATCCCTCCTGCCAAAGGGGAGTGCTACTGAATCTGAGGGAACAAGGGACTATTTAAAATGCATTTTACAAACACCAAAGACCAATAGGCAAAACATCCATACCCTTAAGACACAACTGGACCATAAAACCTAGAACATGAATAAATTAAGCAGCTAACTTTTAACCAGTGGGAATGGTACTTAAATTGGGAGCCACCGACAAAAACCCCTGTGCAGCATTCTCCCTGAGAGGTTCAAAATCTCTTTTCAATTCCAACTCTTTTTTTGAACAGTCATCTGGCTGATAATTATCAATTAACCAGAGAACCATAAACCTAGAGAAACTGGGTCTGGAAGCTGTCACAGACCAAGGAAAGATAAGGGCCAGGTAAATAACCCACAGACAAGCTGCAAAATAAAGGGAGGCCAAACAGTGAAGACAAGAACTATTTCCAACCATAAAAAAGGGGATCAGATCGGAGACAGATGGGAAACTGCCCCAAGGATTTTCATTGCAGGTACCCAGGGCATGTGGAGAAAATTGTGGATTCATTGTTCCCTACAAACTCCAACCACCAGATCAGCAACTGTAGCATTTAAATAAGTCAGGATCTGCTCAGGCGTGAGAGTGGAACAGGAAACTGTCAGGAGTTTGTACCAAAAGGAATAGTGACCAATGGCTCCTTTAAGTAGCCTGAAAGAGAGAAAGCATCATTCGCTGAGATAACATAAAGAACTGCTGATGTTGGAGATCTGAAACAAAAATAGAAATTACTGGAGAAACTCAGAAGATCTGGCAGCATCTGTGGGAAGAAAGCAGAGTTAACGTTTTGACCAGAATTATTTCTAAGACCAATAGTACTGATGCCAAGATCCGTATACGCTTTTAAGGATCAGTTTTACCTACTCGACTTAAATCGGTTATTGTCCTGGTCTTTCACTGGTCCGGTATTACTAATTTGCTTCTGTGATGTCACCCATGCTCATGCTGAAAATACTCGCTCCACCGTATTACTTTTCACGCTCTCTTCATTTTAATGCCACGAAGCGTAAAATCAGGATGCTTAAATCTTAATTCATTGACAGCCATATGGCACCTGAAATTTCGGTGGGCAAGGCAGGAAGGGCCACATCTTATTAGCATTTTTTGGATTAAAAATTGCCCATCCCACTTTGTTCTTCGGGAAAAGCATTTGTGCTGATTGGGCAAAAAAAACTGGTAAATCTAGGGCGGGGCAATTGACAAGTATTAAAAAATAAACAGGCAATGTAGATCTTTCTAATACGAAGTTTCAATTCTCGCCCGTTTACTTTTGTAATAAGCAAACCTTACGGAATATTTACAACACAAAGTTATTTTCATTCGACAAATGAACTTGATTTTTTTTCCCTAAACAAAATCTAGCGCTTGATCATTTGATCCATTGATAGTAGTCGACTTAGGCGCGCAGATTTATAACTAAATAGGCATTGGCTGTTTCGACATGTGTTGTTTTTGCAATTTACAACTGGCATTCATTTCTTGCTTGTGGCCAGTCACAGCTTTTGCTTTTTCTCCAGTTAGTTTTGCAACATATCACACAGCAACGCAAACATGACGCATCCAAAGTTCAAATGTTCATGAGGTTGGAGTTATGGCTCTTCACATCTGTTTTCAGACACTGTGAAAAGTCTTGGACATTGAGGTTTAAACATGAACGTTAGGAGAACTCGAACTTTCTACTTTGTGTATCTGATCGCACGGTGCCTGCCTTCTTTGTCGTTAAGAATCATTCCGGGTGAGTTGAAACTTTTTTGGATTTTCCTTCAGTCAGTATTACTGATTGTTGTTTTAAAGTCCTCGCTGCCCCTCCTTCTCTGTCTGGTTAGGGGTATGAATCAGAAACTTGGAATGAAATGGTCCTGGTAATAACATTGGAAATTATTCTCTAGCAAACTGTTTAAACTTTAATCCCGATTTGTGTTACTTTTACAGAATCCCAGGGTGGAGGCACTGTTAATTGCCAGATGTAGTTTGTGATTTCTTCACTACGTCACCATTTGGCAATTCACGGTTACTTTCGAAATGATACAGCCATTGTACTTTTAAAACCACATAACTTTAAAGTTATCCAAGCCTAGATCAGTCGCCCTCTAACGGCCAGTCTTGCTCGGGTAGAAATTTAATTCCCGAATGGTCGCATTAGATTGATCTAAAGGATCTTTTACCAAAGCATAAAAACCGAAAGAACTGCAGATGCTGTAAGTCGGAACAAAAACAGAAGTTGCTGGAAAAGCTCAGCAGGTCTGGCTGCATCTGTGAAGAAAAAAATCAGAGTTAACGTTTCGGGTCCGGTGACCCTTTCTCAGGACTGTCAGTGTCGTTTTGTTTTGGGCTTTTGTTCCTGTTTTTACCAAAACATTCCTGGCCTCGTTAAATGTCTTCAGAAAAATTTTGCACGTTGCAGAAGGGGGACAGCAATCTCTGCAAACGCCCCAGCTACAAGTGCCGTTTTGTAAAAGCAATAATCTGTTGTTAAGCAAATAATTTGAAAGTGAATGTAGCTCAATACAATTATAATTCTATAATACTGCCGTCATCCTGTGAAGATGCTGATTGGACGTAGTGTGTCACAGGGTTTTCATAAACTATTCTGTTCTTTCCGAACACACAGACAGCCATTTCTTCTATTTTACGTTTGTTCTTGGTTTTTAATTAAATCATTTTTTTATACTCTTCGTGTCAGTTCCCACATCACCTTCTCAGCTGTACTTAATCCAATGACCTGTTCCCTCTGCCAGTCCATTCATGATTAAAGTTTCCTATCTCTAGTTTTAAGATATTCATAACCATGAAGCATTTGACACATGGGTATATTATTACATTTACCTTCTAGAATTTGCCCTGTACTTGAATGTCTTTTTTAATGGTTTTGTACCAGCAATTGTTGTGATTGATATAGGAAACTACCTGAAGCGGGCAAGGAAACCAAGGTCGAGGAGGATAGATTACTGAAGGAAAGTATCCTGCTGTTCTACATGAGGTGTGATCAGGCTCCCATTCACTGCTATTTTTACAGGCGCCATCTCTCTGTGTTTCTTTGGATTTTTGACTATAGTTCTATGTAAAGGTGTCATCCCTGAATGGGAGAGTGAGCTGCGAGGAGGATGCAGAGATGCTTCAGTGCAATTTAGAAAAGCTGAGTGAATGGGTGAATGCATGGCAGATACATTATCGTATGGATAAATGTAAGGTTATCCACTTTGATAGCAAAAACAGGAGGCAGATTTGGCTAAAAACTGAGAAGAGAATTTTCAATAAGACCTGGGAATTCTTGTACACCAGTCGCTGAAGGAAAGCATGTAGGTGCACTAGGTGATCAAGAAGGCAGGTGATATGTTGGTCTTCTAAACAAGATGACTTGAGTACAGGTGCGGGGATGCCTTATTGCAGTAATATAAGGCCTTGGTGATTGACTGTTGTCACACATATGGAGATGCAGTGAAAATTGTTGTTTTGCATGCTATACAAGCAGATCATACGTGGACAACACCTTTGTCATCCTTAAATGGACCAAATTAGAGGAAACACACAAACTTATAAACAACACCCTCACCAGAATAAAATTCACCAGAGAGGAGGAGAAGAACAAGCAGCTCCCATTCCTGGACGTCATGGTAGAGCGCAAGACAAATGGGGAACTGCAAACGAAAGTACACAGAAAAGCCACACACACAGACCAGGTACTGAACTTCAACAGTAACCATCCCAGCACACACAGACGAAGCTGTATGCAAACACTATTTAAGCGGGCAACAACACACTGCAGCAACACAGAACTATGCCAAGAGGAAGGAGAATACCTCTTCCAGATTTTCAAGGATAATGGATATCCAAAAAACTGGGTCAGAAGATGCCTACACGAACAACATCAGGAAGATACTACACGCCCCGACACACTCATCACACTACCCTACATCAGGAACACATTGGAACTCACCACAAGACTCCTACGACCGCTGAGCATCAGAGTGACACACAAGCCCACATCAACCCTACGACAACTGCTCACCCGAACTAAAGACCCTCTCCCCGCCATGGACAGGGCCAATGTCATCTACAAGATCCCCTGCAGAGACAAACAGGAAGGAAACTAACAACAAGGGTACATGAACACCAACTGGCTACAAAAATACACGACCAGTACTCACTCATCTCAATCCACATGGACAAGGAAAACCACCATTTCGACTGGGACAACACCAAAATCCTGGGACAGGCTAGGCAGAGACAGGCACGAGAATTCCTAGAAGCCTGGCAGTCCACGAAGCATGCTATTAATAAACGCATTGAACTCAACCCCATATACACTGCACTACAAAGGAAAACCGGAAGTCAGGCGATCCAGCTCAACGGACTCCAGAGTTTAAAAACCAGGCGGGAAAACACACTGATGCCTCATTGGAGGCTGCACTGAGGATGTTACCCAGCGTGGTAACAAAACTTCTGTGAAACAAGAAATCAGCTCGGCGAGCCAACCAACCTCAACAAGCAGATCATACCTTACAAAGTGCGTCATGATAGCAGAAGAGAGTGGAGAATAGAGTGCTTCAGACGCAGAGAAGGTGCAGAGGGACACGGAGATCAGAATTAACATGAGAGGTCAGTTCAAAAGTCTGATAACAGCAGGGAAGATGTTGTTAAATCTATATGTACATGTATTCAAACTTTTATATCTTCTGCCTAATGGAAGAGCCTATAACTGGGGTAGGAGGGGACTTTGATTATGTTGCTTGCTTTCCCAAGGCAGCAGGAGGTATAGATGGAGTCATTGGATGAAAACTGGTTTGTGTGATGAACTGGACTGTTTTCATGACTCTCTGTAGTTTTATGTGGTCTTGGGAAGAGCAGTTGCTGTACCAAGCTGAGATGCATCTAGCTAGATGCACCACAGAAAGCATCCTATAAAAATTTGGAACAGCCTTTATGGACATGCTGAATTTTCTTAGCTTCCTGAGGAAGCTTACTCCATTGTTGTGCTTTCTTGACCATCGCGTCAATGTTGGTGGCTTGGAAGGGAGCTTGCAGGTGGTAGTCTTCCCATGTTTCTGCTGCCTTTGACCTTCTAGATGGAAGTGCTCATGGGTTTGGCAGGTGCTGAATTTCTGCAATGCATCTTGTAGATAATACACTTTGCTGCTGCTACTGAGCATTGGTGGTGGAGGGAGTGCATGTTTTGTTGATGTGCCAATCAAGTGGGCTGTTTTGTCCTGAATGGTGTCAAGCTTCTTGAGTGTTGTTGGAGCTGCACCCATCCAGGCAAGTGTGGAGTATTCCGTCACATTCCTGACTACAAGAAAGTGACTACAAGAGCAGGAGACAGTCTGGAAGTTCCATGGCAAGTAATTCACCAGTTGACCCCTGTCCTCAAAAGTCTGTCCACCATTTAAAAGGCAGGAGTGTAATGGAATACTTTATACTTGACTGGATGAGTGCATTCTGACAACACTAAAGTTGCTTAACATCGTCTAGGACAAAGAACTGCGTGAAATCGGCATCCCGTCCACCACCTCAGACATTCAGGCACAATTTTTTAGTCCTGGTCAGGTGTGCAGAGATGCAGGAAATCCCGGCTCTAGCAAAGCAACCTTGAAAAGTGGCCACCGGCACTTCCCTTTTTTGGCCTAGCAGAACAGGCTGGATGGGGATTTGGGCCGGACAACTCAGGATGTGTGGAGCAGGCTTCCACGTCCTGAGGCAGGCAGGAAGGAAGCCTCCCTGAGGACTCCAGCACTATGTTTAAAAGTGTAAAAATAAAAATTTAAAACAAAACATCCCTCCTACTCTCACCTCCTCCTTCTCAATGAGCCATCTATGCCACCCCATGCTCTCAACCCCTCCCCATTCCACCCTATATCCACCTACCCATCTCCCAAGGCTTTTCCCTGTTCCCAGAATCAACCCCTTGACACTTTCTAGTCCGTATGCCAACACAGTATCAACTTGTACTTTACCCCACCTTTTCTCCTTACCTCGCCATTGCCAACTCACTTGATATCCATTATGGACAAACCTCAAGAGACAAGTTGAGGTATGTGTCTGTCCATGATATCACTACTGATACAAACAACATTCAATAAGTTGAACACTCGAGAACCAACCTTTTATGAAACAAACTCTTAGCAGTTAAGTGCCCAATCCCTTGTGTAAACAAATATTTCTATTTGAAGTTCTCCATCAAAATGATCACGACAGACACCCCATTGTGAAAATGACAGTTTGAAAAATCAGTCATGCAGCAAAAATCCTACAATGGTTGCTGTGACCAGGAATGCTGAATTGTCTAACACTGTTTTTACTTCATTCTCACTTTTTGGATAACGGCTTTGGAAACTTCTTGACAGATTTAACAGGCCCAATAATCATCCCACTTTTCAACAAAATAATGGAAGCGGTCATCAACAGATAACTGACAACACTTGCCCTGCAATAATCTGCTCACTGTTGCTCGGTTTGGGTTATCCAGGGCCGCTCGGTTTCTGACTTCGTTCCAGTCTTTGTCCAGACATGGACAAAGGATCTGAATTTGAGAGGTAAGAGTGACTGCCCTTGATGTAAAGGCTACATTTGACTGAGTGTGGCATCAAGGAGCCTAGTAAGAGCAATCAGTGGGAATCGGAGTTGGGGGAGCGTTCTGCTGATTAGAGTCACATCTAGCATAAAGTAAGATGGTTGTGGTTGGAATCATTTCAATAAAGTCACTTAACGAACAAGTCAATCATCTCAGTCCATGAACATCTCTGCAGTAGTTCCTCAGAGTAACATCCAAGCCAAATATCTTTGCTACTTCGTTCATGTCCCTCCCTCCATCATAAAATCAAAAGTGGGAATATTTGCTGAAGATTGCCCAATGTTTGGCACCATTCCGTCCATATGCAGCAAGACTTGGACAAAATCCAGACAAGAGCTGATGAGTGGGCAGTATTATTCTTTCTACACAAGTGCTAAGCAATGACCACCTCCAACAAGAGAGAGTCTCACCATCTCCCTTGGTTGAATGGCATTACCATCACTGAATTCCCCCATTGTCAACATCCTGCATGTTACTATTGATGAGAAACTGAACTGGAGCCAACCTTATAAATACAGTGACTAAAAAAGCAAGTCAGAGGCTAGGAAGTTTGCGCCAAGTAACTCCTCTCACTCCCAAAGCCTGTCCACCATCTGCAAGGCACAAGTCAGGAGTGTGATAGAAAACTCTCCACCTGCCTGTATGTGCCGTTCCAACAAAACACAAGCTTTACACCATCCACAACAAAGCAACCATTTGGATGGCATGCCAGTTCCCACCTTCAACGTACACTCTCTACACCTTCGATGTACAATTAGTTAAGGTTACGCAAGGGACTTGCCCTGCTACACCAGTATTTGATCAATAATTGGTCCTGGCCATACCAGATTAACCTCCCACCAGGTAGATTTGGCTGGGCTTGACTCCCATTCCAGTCATTCCATGCTGGATGCACGCGGTGCCAAAAGGAACACACTCTACTCAACTTTGAAATCAACCCCTCAGCAGGGCTAACCCCAGAAAAATGCCGAGTTATTACTGACAGGAGCCAACCGCTCTTAGTGGGATATATGCAGCAAATACAATTTCTGAGGAGAAATTCCCCTGAAGAACTGAAAAGTTTAACAATGGACAAGTAAGTGTTTCCCTAAACTGACAGTGGTGAGGTCATCACTGACTTTCCAGCCAGTGGATGGCCCCCCCCAACACAACCATTAAAAGGAGGAGTGTGCGATATAAATGAATTAGAATGAGTATGTGGTGCAATCTTAAAAAAGTGACCAATACCGACTTTGCTGTTAAGTATTGTCGGCTTCCTGAAACTTTAACTGTTGGAAATATAATGTTGAAGATCTATGAATTTGAAAACTGGAGATAACAAGGTTTTCTTGTTTCTTTTTAAAAGAATGTGCTTTTGATTCTGATGCCACATGGATTCCATTTGGAAACAAATGGTACACTTTCATTTCGGCTCCAGGAAATGGCTATACAATCAACAAAGCTTTGGAAATCTGCCAAGAAATTGGTACTGAATCCTTTTAAAATATTCTTTAAAAATTATTGAATGTGTATTTCACAGAAAATGTTATGCAGTGTTACAGTCAATATTTCAGATGATGGTTACAGATAGAACAACTTGCATTTGATAACACCTTTAACACAAAACAACATTCCAAGGTAACTTAGAGAAGTTTATTCAGACAGAAATGCCAAACCAAAGAGAGAAATATGAGCACGGTTAGCAAAAACCTACATTGAAGTTGTGAGTTTTGAGGAAAGTCCCAAAGGATGTTGAGGAGTTACAGAGGTGGAAAGATTGAGGGGAATTCCAGAGTTTGGGCCTAGACAGCTAAAGGCACATCTGTCTGTGGTGTGGCAAAGAGAGGAAAGATGCACCCAAGCCCAGAATCAGAGTTCCAGGGGGCTGTTTGAACAACAAGAGCAGGTTAGTTTAGGAGGGAGGGATGAGGTTCTGGGTGAGGACAAGATGAGGATGAGCATTTCAAATTGGAAATGATTGAGTACTCAGGATCCAGAGTAGGTGAGTAAGAAGTAAGGTGAAGTTTAGGTGAGACCTGGTGTGAAGTATGATATGGTCAGAAGATCAGCCCGAATTTATGTAATGTGTAAGATGGAAGGACAACCAAAAAAGCAATGGAATGTCAAAGTTAGAAGTGATAAAGGCATGGATGGGGGTGTTAACATCAGATGGGTTGAAATAGAAACAAAATTAAGCAATGCTTAGGATACAAAAGTGGATAGTTTTTGTAATGGCAAGTATGTGTGGTTAGAAGCTAAATGCAGACTCGAATTGGATAATAGGAATGAGAGCAACTTGAGCTGAAACAGAAACCGGGGACAGGTGAGATTGATCCTGAGAGTACTAGAATTAGGGTAGCAAAGAAGATAACGGTTTCATTCGTCACATTTGTTTAAGTGGAGGAAATTGCACCTCATTGAAGACCGGACATTCGGTGGTCTGACAACATAAAGACTGTGATCTGACAAAGGGAAGTGTTGCAGCGAAAGAACTTGCTTTCATTGGTATGTGTCCATGAGTAATATTTCAAAGAAACAGGAAGTAAATGAGGAAGAAGATGTGGCCAAGGAAAGATTTGATGGATGCCAGAGTATAAGCTGTAGAACACAAAGGTCTCCTTTCTGCAGATGTTGTGATTATGATTGGAGAAGTAACAGTGGAAATAAAGAAATGTTACGAGATTAAAAGGGAAAATGAAAATTTTCACAGCCATGGAAAATGGCATTTGTGACAGTTAACATTAAATGGTTCAAATTTCTCAGGAAATTAAAATCTGAGATGTGGATAATAAGAATAAAGTAAAATGTTTAAAATTTAAACCTATATCTCAACACCAGGGAAGGGGCTGATTGATGGGAGGTTGTTGCATGTTTATTTAAAGGCTCAGTTTCTTCCTCTTAACTATTTATTAGACAGTTTACTAAGTTACAACAAGGCACCTTAGTCCTGTGGAAGGTGCATCCTGACTTGTGTGAGAACTCCAGGCACTTTTTGTCTCCTGGACAATGATATGTGCAGGAAGTGTCAGCTGGAGAAACTTTAGGTTGGGTTTACGAGTTTCTAACAGCAGCTGGAGACATTGCAGTAAGGAACCTAATGTCTGGCACCCATCCAGGGGTACGGCCTTTCTCTACCCTGTCATAGAACATAGAAGAGTATAGCACAGGCCCTTCAGCCCACCGTGTCTGCACTGAACATAATGCTGTTGTAAACTAATCCCATCTGCCTGAGCATGGACGGTATTCTTCTATTCTCTGCTTGTTCATGCCTGTCGAAATGCCTCTTAAACGTTGCTGTAATATCTGCTTCTACTACCTCCCCTGGCAGCACATTCAAGATGCCTACCACCCTCTGTGTAAAAAAAAGTTTTCCCTCGCACTTTAAATCTATGCCTCCTAGTATTTGACATTTCCACCCTGGGAGAAAGACTTTGAATATCCACCCCATCCATTCCAATCATAAATTTGTATACTTTATCAAGTTGTCCCTCTGCTTCTGAGGCTCTAATGCAAACAATCCAAGTTTGTTCAACTTATAATTAGTACACTCCAATTCAGGCGACATCCTGGTAAACCTCTTTTGCACCTCTCCAAAGCCTCCACATCCTTCCTATAGTGTGGTGACCAGAACTGCATACACTACTCCAAATGTGGCCTGACTAAAGTCTTATACAGCTGTAACATGACTTGCCAACTTCTATACTCAATGTCCTGACTGATGAAGGCAAGCATGCCGAATGCCTTCTTTACCACCTTATCCATTTGTATTGCCACTTTCAGGGACCTACGGACTTGCATCTCAAAATGCTTTTGTATGTAAATACTCCTAAAAGACCTGCTATTTACTGTATACTTTCATCTTGCATTTGACCTCCCAAAATGTATCATGTCACACTTGGCCACATCTGCCACTTCTCCTCCCAACTTTCTAACTGATCAGTATCCTGCAATAACCTTCCTCACAATGCACAGTTCTGCCAATTTTTATGTCATCTGCAAAGTTAGTAATCAGACCACCTACACTTTCATTGAAATTACTTACATGCACTGTATATTACAACCAACAGATGTCCTAACACTGATCTTGTGGAACACCACAGGTCACAGACTTTTAAAGCAGACAAACAGCCCTCCATAACTACCCTCTGTCTTCAACGACCAGCTAATTTTGAATCCAACTTACTAACTTGCCATGGATCCATGTGACTTAATGTTCTGGACCAGCCTATCATGTCAAATGTCTGCAAATGTAGACAACACCCACTGCCCTGCCCCTATCAATCATCTTCGTCACTTCCTCAAAAAACTCAGTCAAATTTGTGTAATGAACTGTCTTCCCCTTTACTAAGAGAAAGTGAGTGACACAACTGTTGGTCCTGGTGCAGATGGGTGATAAGTGGTAAGATGTTCGGAGGGAGGAGGGAGGCAGTGCGGAGGACCTACATGGTTCTAAACTAATCCCATCTGCCTGAGCATGGACGGTATCCCTCTATTCTCTGCCTGTTCATGCCTGTCTAAATGCCTCTTAAACGTTGCTGTAATATCTGCTTCTACTACCTCCCCTGGCAGCACATTCGAGATGCCCTACTGAATTTGGAGCAAGTGACAGCAGGTGAGGAAAGCTGTTGCAAGCAGTAGTGAGCGTGTCAGAGCACGAGCTCTGAGTAATGAGGAGAGTGTGAGGTAGCAGACAGAAGATGTGGCACTTACCCTTGTGCAGCAGAGAAGGTCATTGACCTCCTTAGAGCAGTTCTGGCTGTTTCTCTGGAATGTGGAGATGACACTGTCCTCGATAGCGACCTCAAAGCAGACTGCCAATGTCTAGTGTCATGGCCTCCTGCGAAGAAATCATGTCTTCTCTGTACCACCCCTCCATGAGCACCTCCAGTTCCCTATCAGGGAATTGCCCTGCCATCTTGCCCTTCTCCAACATGTTCAGATTCTGTCCAGAGAAGTACAGCTTCAGAATGCCAGTGCTCACGAGCAACACAGCAGCCTTTAAAGATGGCATCACTTGTGCCTGCACCATCTTTTGGGTGCTATCCACTAGTGGTGAGTTGACCTGGGGACAGTGCATGATAGGGAATAGCAGAATCAGATGGAGTGAGGTAGGCAGTTAGTGAGGCGAGTTTGGTAAGATATGGCTAGGAAACTCACTAGGCCTTGCAGTAGAAATCTCTCCAAAATACTCAGTGCATTTCAGACAGAGCCAAAATGTAAGATTCACATCCCAGAGCTGCTGTCACTTTCAGAATGTTAACTGTGAATGCTGATAGTTTTGTCACCATTGCTTTCACAAAGTCCGGACCATTATGTTTCTGCATTACAAGCTATCAAGCAGTTGAATCAACTCCTGTTCATGTTGGCTCAGATCCTTGACTGAAATTGTGCTGTGAGAAGTTCAAATGCCATGCTACTAGAGTACTTCCTTTCTCTGCTTAAAATATTATTGTCCTGCCTCACTGAAATGTTCTCAGCCTATAATCATTACCTGGGAGAAAATCTTAGATTGTGTAACAGCAATCTAGCATAGAAACATATGTTTACCCTTTGCACAGTTGTGTAGCTTACAAATTTTTGACTATAGCTGATGTCTTGAAGTAAAAACGCACTGAAAAATGAATATTTTATTCAACAGGAAAACCATTTTGGTTATTATGCCATAATAAAGTATATGTTTTGATCTATTAACTAACATTTGAAATGCAGATATGATTAAATAGAAATGGTTTCATATTAAACTTGATAGTTAAAGTACCTTAAGCCTATGTGTATGAATGATTGATTGAAATTCACTGCCAAATTTGTCATTACATTGAGGAATGCAGACAGCCTCATTAAATAATCCCATTTTCAATGTTATAGGTTTGAAGGTAGCTTTTGAAGCAATTAAATTTTGTCAAACAGTCAACCTTTAATTGAAATCACTTTATATTTTGTTTGTGTGTATTACTTTTCTCTCAGCCCCAGGTGCCAATATTGTCAGCGTTCTTAATGAAAAGGAAAACCAGTTCATTGTTGACCAGTTTAAAAAGACTGTACAGCCTGAAACTATTTGGTTGGGCATGACCTTTGACACAGACAGTAAGTATTAACTTTTTTTTCCTATTTAATACAGTTTTTATTGATTACATAATGTGCATCAAAATATTTGAATAGTAAAGCATAATCCAAGATTCATTCATCCTACTTTAATAAGTTATACATGCAAATCAACTGTAAATGTATTTGCATTTTGAGCTGTTACTGGTTTATTTTCATATATCATCCTGTGTAGGAAGCATATTAAATTAATTGTAAACACATTGTCAAAGAAGCAGCAGATTGTTTTTGTATAAATTTAATAACTGAGGCATTTTTCACATAATCACAAAATTCCATGCCAAAACTAATTTTTCAGTGTAACATAATTTTTGGCATGTTCTGTTAAGTTATTGTTCTGACAAGAAGTCTATAGCTGTGCCAACAATTTGCAAAGTTAATTAATTTCTGTGTGTTTATTGCTGCTGACTACCCAAGAATTCTTCAGATTGATGTGTGATAACTGGTGAATAGCACAGAGCAACAAAAACTAACTGCATCTTTTCAGAACTAGGCACTTGGACTAAAAATTCAACCATTAGAGATTTGATTTCATAGATAAATACCTACCGCACAGAAGGAAGCAATTCCGACTATAGTGTCAATGGGCTGCAAATGACACCAAATTGGGGGAACATGCATGTTATGTGAAGACTTCAAGACGACTTAGACAGGCTAAGTGAAAGAACTAGATGGAATATATTGTGAAGAAATGTAAAAATTATTCACTTTGGTAGAAAAAACACAAGGACACGACATTTCTTAATGGTGAGAAGTTAAGAATTGCAGGTGTCCTATGGGACCTAAGTATCCTTCTTCATAAATAGTTAGCGTGCAGATGCAACAAGCAATTAGGAATGCAAATGATGTGTTGGCCTTCATCACAGAGGAACCTGAGTACAGGATATACAGGTATATAATACAGATATATTACTGCAGTTGTATAGAGCCTTGGGGAGATCTCATCTTGATTATTGTGCACAGTTTTGGTCTGATTTATCTACGTTCTATAGAGGGAGTGCAACAGATTACTATATTAATGCATGAGATAGCAGGATTGTTTAATGAGATAAGTAGGCCTGTATTCCCTAGAACATTTTGAGGAACGAAGTGTGACTTCCTTGAAACTTACAAAATATTTGCATGGTATGTCAGGTGGTTGTTTCTGCAACTGGTGAATCTAAAACCAAGAGACAGAGCCCCTAAAAAGGGGAAGATAATTTAAAACTGAGATGAGGAAGACTTCCTTCACTTTGAGGGTGGTGAATTTTTGGAAGTCTCTACCCGAGAAGGCTATGGAAGCTGTATTGTTGAGCATGTTCAATACATTTCTGGAGACTAATGACAACAAAGAATATGGAGATATTGTATGACAGTAGCATTGAGGTAGATGATCAGCCATGTTCTAATTGAATGCTGGAGCAGGCTTAATGGGCTATTTGACCTACTACTGTTCCTAAATTCACACGCCTTATTATCTTTTAATGCCACCCTCCCTTTAATATTTCTAACTTTAACTGTCCTGTCTCCCAACTGAACAGTATTATATTATTTTTCTCACTCAGCATTGCTGCTTGTGAAACCAATTTTAAAATACACTGAATCTGTGTACATTGCTGGAGAGAGATGCTGACAATTTTCTAACTTGTTTTCGAGATGTTCTCCATCTATCTGGATAATAATCTGGACGAAAATTTATGACTAAGAAACAAAGTACAGGCTACTATATTTAGCTATTAACCTGCAATATTTCATTAAGTCAAATCTGAAAGAGAAATTGATATTTTCCAAGTGATATTTAAATGTTCTGAAGAATAGGTTAAAATGAGCAAAATTGCATTTATTATTGAGGGGAGGCAATGGCCTAGTGGTATTATCAGTGGATTATTAATCCAGAGATCCAGATAATGTTCTGGGGACCCAGGTTTGAATCCCACCACGGCAAGTGGTGGAATTTGAATTCAATAAATATCTGAAATTAAGAATCTAATGATGACTGTGAATCCATTGTCCATTACTGGGGGCCAAAAACCCCACCTGGTTCACTCATGTACTTTAGGGAAGAAAACTGCCATTCTTACCTGGTCTGGCCTACATGTGACTCCAGACCCACAGCAATGTGGTTGACTCTTAACTGCCCTCTGGGCAATTAGGGATGAGCAATAACTGCTGCCTAGCAGCAACACCCTCATCATGTGAATGAATAAAAAAAACTGTTTGTACTTTTCCAGAGAAGGTGGTGCTAGATTTTTAAATTACAGGATATTGATCCTCTGGCCATAAAAGAAAAGCAGCTGATTTCTAAGACATTGTGCCTAAATTTGTTGGGAACTTAGAGGTGATAATGTTGTTCTACTACAGTTGTTCCTGTCCTTCTTGGTATGAGAGGTTGCGGAATAGGGAGGTGCTGCAATATTTTCTGTACATTGTATGTATGACAACAAAGATACGCCGATGCTGTAAGGAATGAATATTGAGTTCAGTGGCAGAAGGAAATAACCTAATCTGGACTGAGTGGAACTTCTTGAATGCTATTGCACCTGCGTCCCTCCATTATACTCATAATTTGGGACTTCTAGATGTTAGAAAGTCTTTGAAGAGTACAGTGTTTACAGAGTGTAGTGCTTTACAGTGGCTGAGGAGGAGCTCATGACCCCACCTCTGTCTCATTTTTGTATCTGTGTCAAGCCATTTAAGCTTCTAATAAATGTTGATGAAGAATAATATTGCAATTACAGTGACATTGAAGGTCAGTGGGAGATGGCTAGTGTTTGTCTTGATTCAGGTAGTCATCTATAATTTATGTGGTGTAACTGTGATCTGCCAGTTGTCAGCTCAAGGCTGAATGTTAACCAATTTTTGCTGTGGATTAGTAAGTATTGTGAATCAGTTATAATGGAATTGAACATTTTGAAGTGCTCAGAAAATAATTATGTACTGAACTTAATATGGAAGAAAGATGATTGATGGAGCAGCTACAAGTGCCTGGACCAAAGTTGTTTTCCTGAGAAACTCATCCAGTGATGTCCTGAAGTTTTGATCAACCATTTTATTTCTTCTATTTGTTAGGTATTACTTGGATCACTGAAAGGCTTTGCCTTTGCCTCCCATATTGGCCACAGTTGTGCTGGGGCTTTTTGAGGCACATGTGAAAAATGAACTGGGTTATTTTCACTACGTTGAGTTGATGTTAAACTTGTTCATGTAAATCAGAAATGGTGATTTGCAGAATGGTGCTAATGGAGTTTGTACATTTCCATCAGTCTCTGATTCAGTCATTTAAGAAGGGACGTTGATTTGTTTGGGGAACACAAATAAATAACATTACTTAATTGGCAGACAAAACAGGCTACTGCAGTTTGTCATGATGGTTGCTAGTCTGTAAGTCTTGCTTTTAACTCCCCTCTCTAAATGCTTTAAAAACATCTAATAAGTTATGTTGACATATTATCTCATGACCTTACCAAGATTTTTGAAGTTTGCTGATCCTTTGGACTTCTTTGACAATTACACAATATGCATACCAAAATTAACTTTGTCACAACTAACAATGTGCTGTGAACAGCATAACGTTAGGTGCTTAACCTGTTGATGTTGCAATAAAACTAGCTTATTTGCTTAGTAAAAGTCTGTTCATGATATTAACAGTATCCTATTTGTCAATACCCAAAATAGTTGATCATCACCGAAATTAAGTTCCCTAAGTTATTTTCACTGATACAAATAATCCATGCCAAAATTAACATTTTATCAACTGCCTTCTGGATAAAATTGATGCATAACCATTTGGTCTTGAATTTAAATTACCTGAGTTTATTGCTGTTCACACATTCATGTTACGATCAGTTACATCATCCTACATGCTACAAACTTGAGTCCGACATTAAAGGAGTAGGTCAGAAAAAGAGTTGATTTGTTCCTTCTCCTTGAATCATGACCACAGCATGGTCAGGCAGTAATGCTTTACAGCGGCTGAGGAGGAGCTCATGACTGCGAGTGTTCTAACACCAGAGCTGAAAATGTCAGGATGTGAGATGAGGAAAAAAAACTTGAAGAAAGTTGATCAAGTCAACAAATTAATATTTAATTTTAACAAGTATAGCTCTTTTCTATAAAAATCCAGTCCAAATTGTTCAACCAGTTGCCACTGAAAATAATGACATATTTCATCTGTAGGACAGTGGTTTGAATCCAACCAAATATTAGAGGGGCTGAAAGTTGCAGTCAACAAGTTGTCAGATTGCTACAGATTTTAACACCACAACAGTGAAGGAACAGTGAAATAGCTTTAACTCAGGATGGTGTGTGACGTGAACGGAAATATGCAAGTGATGGTATCCTAGTTATCTGCTTCCCCTCCTGTCTTTAAAGGTACAGGCTGTGGACTTGGAAAATGCTGTCGAAGGAGCTTTGGTGAGCTTTTGCAGTGCATTTGGAGGATGGTACACACTGCTATTACTTCATGTCAGCAATGAAGGGATTGAATGTTGCAGTTACTAGATTGGAGATGCACCAAGGGGGCTTTGTCCTGGATAGTGTTAAGATTTTTAAGTGCTTTTGGAGTTGCACTCATCCAGGCGAGTGGATAGCATTTCATCACAATCCTGACTTGTCCTTTGTAGATGGTGCACAGGCTTTGAGGAGTTAGGAGGTGAGTTATTCACCGCAAAATTCTTGTAACCACAGTATCTATATGGCTGGTCCAGATCTGTTTCTGGTCAATGGTAACCTGCAGGATTTTGATCAGGGGAGATTCATCAGTGGTAGTGTCATTAAAAGTTGAAGGGCAATAATTAGATTATCTCTTGTTGGAAATGACCATCAGCTGGCACTTAACAGCTCAATCCTGAATGTTATCAAGATCTTGCAACGTTTGGACACTGAATTTTTCAACATCTGAGGAGTTGTGAATGGTACAGAGGTTTGTGCAAACATCAATAAACCTACCCTGTTTGACTTTAATTTGGACTTAAGGTGATTGATGAAGCAACTGACATTAGACTGAGGAACTCCTGCAGTCATGTCTTGGGGCTGAAATGATTGACTTCCAACAATCATACCATCTTCCTTTGTGCTAGGTATTACACCAACCAGCAGATTCACAATAAAGCACCATTTTATGTTAAATTTTATGTTGGACTAGAGTAGGGACTCTTGTTTCTCTGCAGCAGAATGTTTGATGCTGATCTTGTGCAACAATTTATCTTGGTGTTCTTCATGCTGATATTTTCAGTGCTTTGAGTGGAAAAGCATTGAATTCACTGCCTACTCTGATGAGCATAAACAAGATAATTACTCTGAATGCCAAACTGGTCACCGGTACATGTTCAAACCAGCCCAGTGATATCAACTGACTGCAACAAGCTTCAAGATTTGCCTGTGAATGCGCAGCTGACCTCAGCATATTCTGTGCTGAATGATGTCAGTGCATGTGCAGGTTGCCCGACCTTTGTTTCACAGTAATTACTGTTCAAAAGTGGCAACCAATCACTTGTCCCACCTTGGCCATTTCTTGCAATCCATCCCAGCTTTTCACACTGATTCAGTGCAGTGTAGGGAGAGGGAGGCAGTAGCTGCTCAGAAGGAAGGTAAGCTTTAATATGTTCCACAGTGTGATTGCATAGGCAGTGCCATGTTTGTGTCAGGGAGTAGCTGCTGCTGCTTTGTTGCTGGGTGTGACATGCACTGAAGCTTTTTGTTCCTGCCCACATGCACTAGTTCCACAATATTTATTCACAATTCACATTAAATGCAGTGCAGCATAAAATGCATTGAAGGTAGAACAAGTTCTCTGCCAGTAGATCGCTGTCATATGAATTTCCTGCTTCATTATACCATGTACAAACTTGCTTTTTTTTTTAAAAGGTAGCACCATGAGATGGTTTGATGAATCGAAAGTCAATTACTCAAATTGGGCTTCTGGGGAATTGCCTGGAGAAATACCTGATACCGATACATGTGTCATTATGGACACAGAGTCAGGAAAGTGGAAAACAGTTGATTGTGATGAAGATTTTGGAAGATCGGTGACATGTGAAACGACAACAAGTGAGTGACATTCAAGCTAATCTTCGCAAAACACCATGTTTTTGTTTACTTTTGTCAAATAGTTAAGAAAAATTTCATTAAGTTTATCATGTCAATATATATTTGCATTCTTGGGAGATGCATTGTCCATTTCTGCTGCATTCTGTTAAAATCCAACTCAATTCAATACATATTGAGATGCTTTGTAAAGGTTCTCTTATTGCCTTGTGTAAACTGATTCTGAATAGGATAAGTGACACAGTATACTTGGAACTTTAGCAGTTTTACTGGATTAAGCACTGTAATAAGTTGTGACGTTATATATTGGTTATTTCCTTAGTGTCATACAGCATAGAAACAGACTTTTTTTTCCTACCATGCATTGAGAATGTGTCTATTTATAGACTATATGGTATTTGAATGAAATTTTATATTTTACCATTTGCTTGGACTCTTCTGACTTGCATGATAGGTTTAGATACAATAGAGATTTCTTTGCCTTTCCACAAGTATGATCCAAATTTAATTTAAGCAGATGGCATGAAATTCCCTTCCCCTTCGTTCATAAGACTCCAAAATGTGTTGACCCAATTTCAACAAACTTCACTGTGGTCACTAGATATATCTTATTGCACTATTCCCATATTCCCATCACTTGATTCTGTTTGTGTCCAACCATCTGTCAACCTCTGACATGAACATAACCTCCACTGACACCCTGATCCGCTTAGCCGAACTCGTCCTCACCCTCAACAACTTCTCTTTCAATTCCTCCCACTTCCTACAGACAAAGGGGGTGGCCATGGGTACCTGCTTGGGCCCAAGCTACACCTTCCTCTTTGTAGGTTACGTGGAACAATCCCTCTTCCGTACCGACACTGGCCCTAAACCCCACCTCTTCCTCCGTTACATTGATGACTGTATCGGCGCCGCCTCGTGCTCCCACGAGGAGCTCGAACAGTTCATCCACTTCACCAACACCTTCCACCCCAACCTTAAGTTCACCTGGACCATCTCTAACACCTCTCTCAGCTTCCTGGACCTCTCTGTCTCCATCTCGGGCAACCACCTAGAAACCAATATCCATTTCAAGCCCACCGACTCCCACAGCTACCTAGAATACACCTCCTCCCACCCACCTTCCTGCAAAAGTGCCATCCCCTATTCCCAATTCCTTCGCCACCGCCGCATCTGCTCCCAGCATGAGGCATTCCACTCCTGTACATCTCAGATGTCCTTGTTTTTCAAGGACCGCAACTTCCCCCCCTCAGTGGTCGAGAACACCCTCCACCATGTCTCCTGCATTTCCCGCAACTCATCCCTCACACCCCCTCCCCACAATAACAACCAAAACAGAATCCCCCTCGTCCTCGCGTACCACCCCACCACCCTCCGGATCCAACGCATCTTCCTCCGACACTTCCGCCATCTGCAACCGACCCCACCACCAAAGACATTTTTCCCTCCCCACCCTTATCTGCTTTCCGGAGGGACCACTCTCTCCGTGACTCTCTTGTCCACTCCACACTCCCCTCCAGCCCCACCACACCCGGCACTTTTCCCTGCAACCGCAGGAAGTGCTACACCTGCCCCCACACCTCCTCCCTCACCCCCATCCCAGGCCCCAAGAAGACTTTCCACATCAAGCAGATGTTCACCTGTACATCTGCCAATGTGGTATACTGCATCCGCTGTACCTGTTGTGGCCTCCTCTACATCGGGGAAACCAAGCGGAGGCTTGGGGACCGCTTTGCAGAACACCTATGCTCGGTTCGCAATAAACAACTGCACCTCCCAGTCGCGAACCATTTCAACTCCTCCTCCCATTCCTCAGATGACATGTCCATCCTGGGCCTCCTGCAGTGCCACAACGATGCCACCCGAAGGTTGCAGGAACAGCAACTCATATTCCGCTTGGGAACCCTGCAGCCCAATGGTATCAATGTGGATTTCACAAGCTTCAAAATCTCCCCTCCCCCTACCGCATCCCAAAACCAGCCCAGTTCGTCCCCATCTCCCTAACCTGTTCTTCCTCCCACGTATCCCCTCCTTCCACCTCAAGCTGCACCCCCATTTCCTACCTACTAACCTCATCCCACCCCCTTGACCTGTCCGTCCTCCCTGGACTGACCTATCTCCTCCCTACCTCCCCACCTACACTCACCTTTACTGGCTCCATCCCCGCCTCTTTGACCTGTCTGTCTCCTCTCCACCTATCTTATCCTCTATCCATCTTCTATCCGCCTCCCCCTCTCTCCCTATTCATTTCAGAACCCCCTTCCCCTCCCCCATTTCTGATAAAGGGTCTAGGCCCGAAACATCAGCCTTCCTGCCCCTCTGATGCTGCTTGGCCTGCTGTGTTCATCCAGCTCTACACCTTGTTATCTCAAACATCATAGCTTGCTGGTTTAGAGAATTCCACCTGTTCAGAACTCACTTGAATGAACAAATTTCTCCTCATCTCAGTCCTAAATGGTTGGTTCCTTATTTAGAGTTCTAGATTTCCCAGTTAGGGGAAACATCCTCCCAGCATCTATCTCACCAAACCCCTTAAGAATTTTATACGTTTCAATGAAATCACCTCTCCATTTTCTAAACTCTGAATAAATTAGATTTTTATTCCTTAATCTCTGTTCTTCAGACAATTCCCTCAGCTTAGGTAGCCTACTGAATTTTGATTGCATAACCTCTAAAATGCATACATCCTTTCTTGGGTAATGAGAGCAAAAGTGTACAAGTCTTATTGACTCCCTAAATAATTGCAGCAAGATCTTTTTTCCTCTCTAAACTCCCAATTCCTTTGTAATGAAGACTAACATGCTATTTGTAATCTTAATTGCTTGTTGTACCTGCCTTACACCTTCCTGTGATTTGTGTATCAGGACAGCAGATCACTCTGCCAATATTTCCCAGTTTTTCAGTACTTAAAATGTGTTCTGAATTTTCCTATCTTTCCAAAATGGATCATTTCACATTTGCCACGTAATATTCCATCTGCAATATTCCTACTCACTCACTTAACCTGTCCAAATCCTTTTTCAGACTTGTTCATCTTCCTCATAGCTTACTTTCCCACTGAACTTTGTGGTCTGGAACTTTTGATATATTACATTCAATCCACTCACCTAAGTGATTAGTACAGGTTATAAATAACTTAGAGCCTAAGCCTTGATCGTTGTAGTATCCCACTTATTACAGACTGCCAACTGAACATTTCTACTGTCTTCTATCCATTAACCATTCTTAATCCATGCAAAAATAGTAACACTGTTTAATGCTTTATGGAATCCCAAGTGTGCTACATGCTCATATTGATCCTACTGGCTACATCATCAGAAAACACTTCAGTAGTTTTGCCAAACATGATAACGCAACCCTCACCGCAGATTATAGTATTTCTTGGTGGCCAGCATATTGATTATAAAGTATCTTGCCACTGGAGTCCTTTATTTTTGCTGCATTTTTGCTTCTTCATGACTTCTGGCTTACAGTGAAGCCAGATACAGAATATTCACCTATGTCTCTACCATGTCCATATTCCCCATCATAATTTCTCCAATCTTTGGTTTTAAAGATCCAGCTTTATGCTCTAATTTTTCCGTTTTACAATCTGTTTTGATGTCATGAAAGTTTACTGTAATATCCTGGTTTCTCCTTCCTTGTCAGTTTTTGTTGCCTTTTGCTGAGTTATAAAACCCTCCCATTTCTCTGGTTTTACCATTCTTTTTGGCAACATTATAAGCATCTTCCTTTGATCTGGGGTCCGTAACTTCAGTTGCTAGCCACAGTAGGACCACTTTATCTGTTGGGATTTATTCCTTCAGACAATGTATAAGTAAGTGTTGCAAAATATGAATTCTTTAAATGCCTCATGGTACAAATAGTTGGGGAAGGATGAATTGGCTGGCCTCTTTTCAACCTCCCTGATTAGCCCAATGAACATGTACACTCTCTTTTTGGTGTGAAGCTATACATTGTCCTAATTAACATGTAGTTAACTGTTTTTCACAGGAAATAATAATGAGACCAGTACACAGATTTTTTAAGTGAAAGAGTAATTTTATTTCCTTGTGTGAAAAATAATACAAATGCAATATCAAGCATAAAACCTCTCTAAAATCAGACGGACAATGTGATTTTTACCGTTAGGATGGAGTACACCTGAATGGGACTACATAATGAGCGAAGTAGAGAAGGTCTTAAATTAACTAATGGAGACAAAGGCCCAAATTTGAGAACTTAGGATGAATCAAATAGTGGGGAAGAAGGCAACAGAGGCAGGAATTAATGTTGGAAATGATAAACAGACAATGACAGCGTTGGACAGGGAATGCAGATCTAAGAAAACCAGTGGATAGGATTAGAGATTACAAAAATAATCAAAAGGATTAAAATTAAGGCCCTGCATGTGAATACAAGTAGCACTTTGAATCAAAATAGATCAACTAAATTGAAATAAATAAGTATGATCCAGTAGCTGTTACTAAGGCATGGCTGCTGGATGACCTAGATTAGGACCTAAATATTGAATGGTATGTGACATTTTAGGAAGGACATGAAGCAATGGAATGAGCAGAAGAGTAGTTCTGATAATTAAAGATTATATTTGTACTATAGAGAAGGATGACCTAAATTCAGGAAACCAGGATATAAAAGCAGTCTTGGTAGAGATGAAGGTTGATAGAGGCAAGAGTTCACTCATGGGAATTGTGTAGAGGTCCCTAACAGTAACTATGTTGTAGGACAAGATATCAAGAAAGAAATAATGGGAGTTTGTCAAAAAAAATTACAACAATCAATCATGGGAGATTGTAACCCACATATAGACTGGAAAAGTCAAATGGGAAAAAGTAGTCTAGATGATGAATTAATTGAATATTTTTGGGACTGTTTCTCAGATCAGCATATTTTTGGCATCAAACAGAAATGTTGAACTAGATCTGATTTTGACCATTGGGATAGGGTTAATTATTGATCTCCGTGAAAGTGGCCCTGTTTAGCAGTGATCATAATGTGATTGA